TATATATTATTGTAATACAATGAAAAACACTAGTTGTTTAATAAATATATATTTTAAAAATCTAAATCGGTTATTTCTTCCGCTTATACAGGGGCATGTAATTTTAGTCGATAACTGATTCGCCGAAAATCCATACTACCGTTAACCGGGTAGGTGTGATGGAGACGAGATGGTGCTATCTTACATACCTTGTAGATCTGTACTGAGTAGAACTAACATTTAGTCAATCTACTATCTTAAGACCTCTAGATGACATTCTATAATAATTAATTATTGAGATTTTGTTTCCGTTTCCGGCCGATACGTTTATTGATACGGTTCGAAACAATTTGAATATTCAACGCGAATGTAAGCGGTTGGAAATATAGGGACGATGATGTGGTTGGTTAAAACAAATATTCATAACATTTTTGACTGTAGTTACTTTGACGTCAATTCGTCCAATATTTTTGTAGAAACATTCTCGTAGTTATTAAAGCATAATGTTTTAATACTAAGGAAAAGTAATAATTTAATATTTTAACGAGGTTAATCACCACAGTGATGAAGTTATGGTTGTCCGTGGTAATTATCGAACCAGTTTTTTAAGAAATTTAGAAATTACTAATCTGCTCGGGCAGGGTTGGCGCGGGGCTTATCCTGTAGGCGAATATATTCGTTTGGGGTACATACCTATATATATATAGTATGTACTGTACAATATTATCTAATAACCACGGAGTGAAAAAAATTAAGGGGGGCTAAATTCCCATTAGAATTCTTCCTCCATCCCCGGATCAGGGTCTGCTAGACGGACGAAGATATTATTATATTATATTATATAATATACAAAATATAAACTTTAGGTGTTACTATGCTATTATGTAGGTACCTATTATATGACATAATATATTATTATGCCTCATACTTAGGCCTGCTTAAAGAACTGCGTGAGTATATTATGCTGTACGAGTGGGACTGTATTGGGAAAAATGACGAAAAAGAATAGACACACCAGCAAGACATCTTTCGTACGTTTTATTATAATATTATGTGCTAGTGAAACTGGGACATCGTACAAAATATAATATAATAAAATCACGACGAGGTGAGCCGTGTAGTTCTTGTGCCTGGGTCATCGTGAAAAACATCACGGATCACCCTATGCATATATATTATTATATTATAATATTACACTATACAAATAGCTACGTATATTACGCATACATAATATAGACATGTACATTGTACAACAGGGTGAATATTTTATTGTGGACCAGATGATATCGTGGAATTACATGGATTTTTTTTTACAAACTTTTAAGATCGTACTGTTTTTAATTATTTTCTCTGATCATCCTTTATAATAATATACTACTATGGTATTTTTGCTTGAAATTAGCATTTAAAATATATTCAAAGATATTGTCTGGTTCACGATGAAATAATCATTTACCTACCTCCTGCATAATATTTGTCATAAATTACAGCTCGAGCTCTACGTAGGTACCTACTTATTATATACCTAATATGATGCATAGTGTTCGGTAAGTACTGATTATAACATAACATAAGTCACTCGCTTAAAGTCACCTTATATCGTGCAATTGTGATTTAATTTGACTTTTTACAATATACGCTATAGTAACTCATTTCAAACTAAGATACACGTATAGGTATAGTAAATATGATATAATAACCTCATTATACCATTTCATGCGGTAATTACTAGAAAAGTACGTAATATTTATTGATTTTAAGCTTTAAATTAAATAAATTCATAATTTTTTTTTATAATATTCTGCCGAAATTCCAAATAAATATAATATCTTCAAGATTATAAAAATTATTATCGGATTATAGAGTGTAAGAAATGTTTAATATTTTTGTACATATTATCATTGATTATAGATACTAGTATTTATAATCAATGATATTATATAGCAATGTAGTATGTCAATCGCCTCGACTATAGTCGCTTTTCAGCATTTTAAATATCCTAATAATATTATACTTCCGAGTTCCGACTCACAATTACACGAATTCAGAAAAAACAATATTATTGTACATAGATAACATTATAAAATCACCTAAGAAAAAAATTCCTTTATAAACAATGAACCTATATAGTTATATTATATAATAATAGCAGTTTGATAATTTTTTAGTTTTGTAACGAGTAACTTCATAACAACTTGTTTAACCCAACACTGTACGAATGTAATAGTATCAATAAATCAAAATATCACTAAAAACAAAATCATTATAGTTACGACTCTATATGTGCCATTTTTTTACTATTGTTCATTTAGCAGAGAAGTATAATAATATTATGTAGCACGCTGCATGTACCTACTAGATTCAAACTGATCGTTTCAGTAGACTAGCAATCCAAAAATCTAAGAGACGTTTGACGACTTTCTCGAGTACAATATAATTGATCAATGAACGGATTCGCCCTCTCCCCGTCAAGCAGAGCACCGGGAAACGGATGCTAAATCGATCGCTCTCTGGTCACGTTTTATTTTCTCAGTGTACATATTCTTTTTATCGCGTTACGATCGTATTGAAAAACGTCGACTACAATTTTTTTTTTTTTAACGCACACGCCCCAACAATTCAGTGGCGCCTTATCCACGAGACGATTTGGTGGTCGGTCTACTGGAAATCGGAGAGACGCAATAAATCGAATATCGTGGGTTCGAACAGTACGCGGTTCGAAGTACGGCATCGGCACACAATAAAATATAACGAGCTGCGCTGCCGAATAGTGTAGTGGGGGATAATAATTTTCGAACAGCCACCGCGTTGGAATAAATAATAACTGGTAATGATCTAACGAGAATTCCAGCGAAACTCTTTCAGTATAGGTACTATTATAGCTCTCGCTCCTATCGGTGAAGAGAGGAGAGAGGAGGAGGATTGAAAACCCTATACTGGCAGAGATAATGTGCGTATAAATTAAAGGGATGGATTTATGTTTTTTCCAAACGACGCCATATCGACGATCTGCATGGATGAAAGTCACGGTGGCAGGCGCCTAGTTAGCTGCAGCTAATATACAATATATCCACGTCGAGTGAATAGTATTATTATAAGCGTAATTAAATACAGAGACTGCACGATCAATGTCGCGATAAATTTGGTCCCGACGAAAACAGGACAACACGTTCGGAAAGCTTCTAAGTCACATGCACGGGATAATCGGTCGTTACGATATTTTATGCGGTGCAGATAAAAGGTGGAAAATGGAAAATATAGATTTTACTATTTTATGACAATCGTGGGTCCTGTCAAATAAAATAATAAATTTTATTATTTTAGAGAGTAGAGACTGGTATAGAGTTGGAGTGATTAGTGGTCAGCATATAATATATTATAATATATCCAGAAGTCAAAATATAAACCACAGTGAACACTTTGTGAAAACAAGTATAATTCTGGTATCCACAAATACAGTGATCATCAGTAAACATTTTTTTTTATTTAACAAAATTCTCTATTACGCTATCTGTTACAATTAGAAGTGATAATAGAACAAAAACAGACAGAAGAGACTGAAGGAAGAGGACTCCCATCAGAAGTACTTCAACATGAATATCAGTAAAAATAGTCATAAAATATTGTAAAAATTAACGGGATTCCTCTAATCCGATAAAAATATAGGCACTTTTTACGATTTGTGGCGACCGTTCAGTAACAGTATGTAATTTCCCCAAAACAGAAATATTCGTGATACGACAAGCAAGGTACAAGGATAAACATAATAATATAATACGTTAAATGTTCAAGCAAATCATTGAAACGGCCTGTGTTCCAAATACATAACAGTACAATAATATGTAGTATTATAAAACTCTATTTTGGATAAATTCTGCAAATCATTATAGAATTATTATATTGTACAGGGCGGTGGTGTCATCGCTCATTAACGAAAACCACCGGGTACGAGAGGGAGAAAGAAAATAACGTCACGCGAACAATAATTCGTCGCTCTCGTCGGGCCACTGGTGTGGCGAGAGGTGAGTGTGGGCGAGGGAGTTGCCCGGGGTCGGGAAATCTAATCGAAACCGGACTCGGGAACGGACGGTGAGCTCGGCGGTGGTTGCGATACAGTGTATGTATAGGTGGGTACGAAAGAACGGAGAAGGAGAGACGCATACACACAGAGATCGAGTGAGTGAGAGAGAACAAAAAAAGGTTTAGCCGGGTGGGCTGGGTGTGTGCGGCCCGGCGAGAGGCGGTCTCTCTCTCTCTCTCTATATATACACACACAGTCTCTCCACATCCGCAGACGGGGCTCGGGTCGGCGTCAATCGATAAAATGACACGTCGGAATGTTGCGATTATTTTCGTTTGGCCCCCTTCATCGACGTTATACACACACACAGATATATATATAGCCAAACACTCTAACCGACGCCGCCGACAACAGAATTCATTCGCGAGCGACCACTCAAATTTTCTGTTTTATAAAAGACGCTTTCCGATCACGGATTTTTGTTTGCACCTATACCGCGGTATCGGGGATGGATCGCCGAGTAAATCGAATTTCACTCTGAGGTAGAACTACGCGCATCTCTCTACCATGATATACGCTACGAATAACCCTCATATAACGTATAACACTCCGCAACTGTTGGACGAGGTGCAAGAATAGGGAAAGCTCCGATCTGTCACCATGAAGAGCCGCGATGACTTCCGTTCGTCATATTATTATATCTATGTAATCATCGTTTTCGTCGGGATCATGAAAAATTTCGGCACACACACAATACTGGAAGTGTTCTTTTCGTCGCTTTCTCGGCGCGTGCGCGGTACACCGGCCGAGTCCGTTTCCGCCTGTACCAGATTATATGTTATATGAACGCGGTTTTATATGCGACATGGTACTACGGAACTGAACGAAAAGATTCTCGAAGCCATCTAGGTATTAGTACGCGGTAATAAAAGCAACAATAATATGCATGGTTCAGACGGAAACGGAAACGCGGACCCGGTTCGTCGTCGAAAAATCTTACCGATAAACAAGAAAAATATGAGCAATCCCAGTTCTCGCATTGAGGCTTTCAGGGTGCGCCCGAGAATTTGCAATCCCTTGGAATGTCGGGACAGTTTGAATATCCTGAAAACCCTCACGAGCCGGATGACCCTGAGTATGGCCAGTGACATGGCCTGGTTGGTGCTCTTGTCCTGCGGGTTCTGCGGCGCCTTGGGCAGGTTCATCGTGGGGTCCTCCTCCTCGGCAATTACCGTGGCTAACGTGATGAAGTACGGTATTATAGCGATTATGTCGATCGTATTCATCACGTCCTTGAAGAAGTGCAACTTGTTGGGGCAGGCGAGAAAGCGGACGGACAGCTCGAACGTGAACCACACGATACAAATGGTCTCGATCAAGAAGAACGGGTCGGTGATGTCGGGCACCTCGTCCTCCTCGATCTTCGTACCGTTGGTCGTCGTGTTGAACACCTTGTAGTGTTTGAACTCTGGCAACGTTTCCAGGCAGAATATAACGATGGACAGCAGTATGACGAACACGGATATGATGGCCACCACCCGGGCGGCTTGAGAGCTCTCCGGGTACTCGAACAGCAGCCACACCTTCCGCTGGAACTCGGGCTTTGGCAGTGGTTTCTCTTCTTCTTTTATAAAACCCTCTTCTTCCCTGAAAACCAAAATAGGTAAAGCAAAAACCGGTAATATAGATCACATAGGTAGTATTAAATATAATATTATGATAAAAATAACTAGTTATTACTAACCTAACCTAACCATACACTTCGTGACGTATTATTATTTTATCGTAGATAAACAAAACAAACGGGATATCGTTAAATATTAGAAAGCCATAAACCCCTTGGGTGATCGTTAACTTCCTGCAAGTTGTTAATTAGACGTGTTTCAAAAGTTAGTTTTCAAAGTGTCGAATAAAAACTAAATAAATGTGTTTAATATTGAAATGCATGGCAAACAAACTATTGTGACATCTTGTAAAAAATTACAATAAGGCATATTATATTATGCATTTCAGTATGAACAATATTATACATTTTATCGATTTTAACACGTCAAAAAGTGGAGAACGTGTAAAATGTTCGATCTGCATGGTGCAAACATAATATTATTTATGATAAGGGAAATGTTTTGTTTTTTCGTAAAAATATATAAATAATAAATAATATATATACAGGGTGTTTCACGATGAACTGACAATTGTAATAACTTTTGTTCTACTGAATATTTTCAACTTTTTTTTTTTTTAAATTGTCAATTGTCATCTGCGCTACATTTAAAATATTTTTCGACTTTTTTTTAATATTTCTTATGTAAAATTTAAAAATTTAAAAATTTACTATTTGATATTTGAAAAATTCAAGATAGCCATTTTGTAAATCCGATTTTTAGAAAAATGTCGGTGTCAAAAACTTTCACTAAGGTCCAGTCAATAATTTTTAAACAATTTTTAAAATTTGTTTAAATTCAAATTTATTTCCTTTTTATCAGTGTTACAGCAATATTATCGATTTTGAATTATTTTTTCCAAGAAATAACAAAATTTGTTATCACGAATAATCAACAAATATGATACCAGGGGTACGAAACTCCGTGCGTTGGCCGAATCCATAGATAATAGAATTATCTATGGCCGAATCAGGCGATTGCGGCCTTGAACACGGTCTCCAGGTGGGAATGGTAAACAAGCAGACCCCACGTAGCGTATCCCGCCTATGTTCCGGTAAACAGTTTTTCAATACGGTTATAACATCATGTTGGTAACTTGGTGTACGGAAACAGTTTCAATGTTCAGACTTCAGATCATAGGTGGTATAAGGTATTACAATATACACAATAAGTAATAACACATAACGTATGTATTACATAACGTATGTACGTGAACACGTGGTTCGTATTTCGTTTATTGATGTTTGTCAAAAAATGTTTGGTGTTAATTAGTGTTTGGGTTTTTAATTTATGCGTAATAATGTAATATCAATGTCAATTATAAGTATATAACATGATCATTGACTATTATTCAAAAATTAATGACCAGTGACCACCCACCAGTTACCACCACCATAATATGTGCTGGACCCTTAGATATAAAGTACTTTTTATCTATAATAACTGGACTTCAATGTTACTGTAATCATGTCAATCATGATCCATGACAGTTATTCATCCAGCAAGTAAATTATATTACCTACTCAAGTATTCTTAAAAAAAAAACCTTACAGACAATTCAAGAGAATATGAAACCGTTTTTATTGCATTGTAAGCCAAGCAATTTAATGAGTGTTTATACATTAATGTTGAACCGTGACAATGTTGTATAATACACAAGTAATCTAAACTTAAAGAGATGTTTTTCAAAAATATCTCATGAACATTTTAAGGAATACCATCTACCTAGATGATAAAGTACTATGATAAAGGTATACTATTTTTTTTACATATTATTAATTATAATTAAATTATTGTATTTTAATGTCATAGGTAGTTTTATAAACTATTGTCCAACAGTACATACATTGGGGGCTATTGATTTGGTCCATTCCAGTAATGATAGTTATGTTTCATCAGTGAATAATATTATTTTCTCCAACTAACTTGTACTTGTGAATTGGATTTGAATTGGATTATCAGAGAATAATAGTAAAATACCATGTTAACTGTAAGTTGAATCATCTAACTTGTGACCTAGTACTTAATATGTATATTTTAATATTTTTAAGTTTTAATACCATTTCAGAACTTTGGTCATAGGACCTAGTATAGGACTAAGAATACAGAATATGATTGATAACTAATTGATACATTTTTATTGAATTAACTGTTGTGTTTCAATCATCACATGTATGGAGATTAAATATGTCAACATTTACGTATTCTATTTTCACAATTTATTATTTTAGTGCATATAAATTGCTATTACACTAAGTACAATTAATAACAACATCAACATTCTAAAATGTAAGTTAATTATTTAAATACTATTCATTTAATTTTAATATCTAAAAAAATAGGTTTTAATTATTTTTCAGGATATCAATTTTAATATTTGAAATAACTATGAATGTATTAATGGAATTATTAAAATTCAAAAATCAATACGTCATCATCATTGAACATTTTGTAAAATCAAGTAAAATTAATTTGTAGTTGTAGTTATAGTTATTTTTATAGTTTTTTTTTTTTTAATGCAGTGTTGTAGTGATTAAGTATTTCTAATCTAAATAGTTGAATGGATGAATGTTGGTACTAAACTTAATTTATAACAAATTAATATTTTATGAAAAAAAGTATTTAGATAGGTATTTTTAATATTTACCTAGATTGTATGTATACATTTTTCCTATTAGTATTAATACTTGTGAATAAAATACCTACCTTTAATGTTACAAAATAATTCACAAATATTCAAAATTAAAATTAAAAAATTATTTTAAAATGCGTATTAAAGCATATTACATAATAATTTATTACCTATAAATAGTTTTACATGCTACCTTTTACACTTGAAAAAAATACCTCATTAATCCATGTTATTTTTGAGGTACAATAATAATACAAGCATTCTTTTTTCAGTTTAAGTAATATATGTACTTTATGCTTTGGGAATTATGGCTTTATTTATTTGATTTCTAAGTGAATTTTACATTTACACTAATACTCTGCTAATGCAATCCGTTAAGTAAATACTAATATTTGTTTAGTTTTTTGAATAAATATAGTCAAATACTCTCAAAAAATACAGAACTATATAAATTAAACTAAAAAAAGAATTCCTCAAAATAACACTATTTAAATTATAAATTACTTACTACCTACCTTAGATATCAGATATGATAATTAATCAGTACACAACCGAAATTAAATAAAATACTTTTTAGAATATATGTATTAATATTTATTTATTATAATAATTAATGGAGATGTTATTCCTAATTTTTATAAGTGCACTTTATAATGTATTGTAAATTGTAGTTAATGTTATTTTGTTATTGTTCAATAAATAAAATACTTAATATTACATACGCAGTTGTACTTAGTGAGCGTTTACCTTTGACACAATATGGACAATTATTGTCTGTTCGTGTTGGATCACAGATTTTATGTACAATATTTTGTTTAATGTACATTTCTATTATATGTTTGTTCAGTGCCGGCGCTAGGGGAGGACAAATGGGACATTTGTCCAGGGCCCCGCGCTTGTTAAAGGGCCCCGTGATTTTTAATTATCATCTTGATACGAATACCGTGGTCTACCGTCGTATATAGCATTATTCTGGCTGCAGCGGTCGCGTACTTAGATATTAAACAATTTATTATTTTATTCAAACATTTTGATGAATTAATTTATTTTTAATTGATGATTTTATGTAGTTGTTAAAATAAATGTAAATTAATAAAATAACCAGCCCTTATGAATTTATTAGCCTACGATTTTCCACTCAAAGGTTTAACTGAAACTCACGCTACGCCAATAATTCTGTGCTGAGCGAGGTTTCATCAGGAGGAATCGCACTCGAATGTGTTGTCTCCGTTTACTCAAGTAGGTAAGGTAAAGTGGGGTAAGTGTGACGCAAAAATGAAAAGTTAATTTTGAATTTGACAATACTTTTTTTGTTTTTAACTTAAAGTTGTTATTGTTCCATAATGTAACACCTCTAGATATACTTACATAATTGGAATTTATAGTCAACAAAGTTATATTATCACTCACCTAAGAATAATTTTTTTAAATTTTAAAACGTCACACTTGCCCCTTTTCTTGGGGCAAGTGCAAAATCGGATTGTTTTTGCTATTAGTATTACATAAAATTATATATGGGGCAAGTGAATAACAAAGATAAAAATAAGCTTTAATTTGATTTTTGTTTCATTAAAATATCTTGATTCATTAAGAATTGACAGAGCATTATTTAAATTTAATTATTTACCTATATTATATATAAAAACAGTACTTTTTTTAAAATCCTGATTTAAAAAAAAGCTAAAATTTCACTACTCTCTGAGAACCTAAAGGCTATTACCTATGACCAGGGCCCCGCAATACCTAGCGCCGGCACTGTGTTTGTTGAATATTTGTAATTATTTGGTTGACGTTGAAGTATGGCTTTTAGGTCCGGATTATCGATTACCGGATTACGTGATTACGGTATAATATCAATATTATGCGCATAGATAATACCACGGTCTTAGATGATAAGATAAGAATAAACTTATCAATCTCAGTGGCCCGTGATAAGTTGGATTTTTTCATGGAAAAATCCAGATAGTAAATACCTAAGTCAGATCAAATAAATCGCTTAGAAATAATATAAATTTGTGCAAACTTCAAAAAATTGTAGAAAACAAACGGCTGAACATTTTACATTTTTTTTTTTGCGGACATATTTAAAAAATCATATCAACAAAATGGCTATTTTGAATTTTTCAAATATCAAACAGTAAATTTTTAAATTTTTAAATTTTACATATAAAATATTAAAAAAAAATCGAAAAATATTTTAAATGTAGCGCAGACGACAATTGACAATTTAAAAAAAAAAAAGTTGAAAATATTCAGTAGAACAAAAGTTATTGCAATTGTCAGTTCATCGTGAAACACCCTGTATACTAGAATAATTTCAAAATCAATGCATTGTTAAACCGTCCAGAAACTAAATAATATATTTTACCTTATTACTGTTATTATTGATTTATGGAAAAATTGAAGTAAAAAATATCTTAGATACGTAATCGAATGAAAAAAAATTAACACATCAACGCGCGTATAACTTAGAAGTCATTCGGCAACTGTTTCAATTCCATTTCGAATAAGATTTTCCATTGGCGAGCAGATGACTTATACTTATAATACATACGTATATATGATATTACATGTGGTGCTTTGCTTAAAGTGCTTTATTATATTATAGCTTCAAAAAAAGGCCATTGCGTTGAATAGTATTGGCTTAATGCATGTTTCATGAGTTAACTAAAGTAATATATAGCTATCTATATTCGAGAATATAACAAAGCACCATACAATAAAATATGATACCAGTATTATATTTATGACCTATAATAATTATATGTAGTAGGTCAAAATATAAATTGCACCAATAATTCAAAATACATCATGTATTCTTTTAAAAATATTGAAGTAAAAAATAATATAGCAAATATTTTTTTTTTAATCATTAATATTTCAGTAAAAAAAAATTAACTTGAGTTCAATTTTGTTTTAAAAAAAAAAATACAAAATCTGTGTGGACTGTGCTGAAACACCCTCATAATCGGTAAAATGTTTAAACACTATACATTATAATATAATAAAGGAAACTCGTTCTTTATAAAAAACGATCGAGGTGTCGAATGACATTATTTTTCTTTCATTTTAAATGTATTTTTTTGTTTGTATCGTAACGTAGTGAGTGTTGGTGTATAAAAAATACTCGTTTTGCCAATCGACGAAGACGACGACGTGTTAACATAAATATTTGTTCTTAAGCGATCGGTGCACACATGTCTCAAAACTTAAACGCACACTCTACGTACGATACGTCACTGTCGCACGTCAACAAAAAATAATACGCCTTTTTCAAACACTTTGGACAGTTTTTTTCTGAAACCTTTGGTACATAATGGGTATGGGACGGTAGACGGTAGTGGAGGGTATTAACAAACAGAAGCGCTTGTAATAATATCGGAAATATTATTGATGGTCAATCTCTATTTATCCGGGACGATCCAATTAAAAACGCGTAAGAACAAATTGTGTATTATAACAGCTTGGTTTCACCAAATTGTATTGAAGATCGACGCGGGATGAGTACAATATATGGAAGAAGGCGCATTCCAAGTTTATAAATCATTATTTATCGAATAAAATATAAAATCAGAAAGTAAGCGTGAGAATTAAATCTAGTGTTGATTAAGTTTAATCTTATTACGAATTCTTTCTACGTTAGGGGGTTGTGGGGATAGACCCCCCCCCAAAACTTTTTTTTTACTGCTAACATTTTGATCAAAGTATTGATAGTGACCATTCATGTTTGCTAAATACGTTTATCCCCCCCAAACCAAATTCTTAATTACGCCACTGTACCCAATAACGTAAATGCAAAGCACAAGCAAAATTATGTGTATCACTAATGATTGATAAGGACTCGGGTTTGATCTATATTGCATTCATTAAAAAGAAAACGTTGGTTTTGTTAAAAGATGCATATAACTTACCTCCTACTAAACTACACGTGGCTAATAAATCGTCGTAAAACGGTGCTTGTGTATAAGGTATATTATTCATCCCAACAAAAACACTCTGCCAAACTTCGTGTGAAAAAAACGCTAAGTACAAAAAAAGGCTCTAAAAGTTGTGATATCATTTCATATCTAAGTCTTTGAACTATATAGATATAATTTATGTTTAATAATAGTCTGCTAAATAATTTAACTTAGCTTGGCGACTTTAAAACACTTGATTAATGATTAGTAATACACTACCTATTTCAATGATGACGACCTCTCGGGTTCGATATGTAATATATTACATTCATTAAAAATAAAACGTTATGGTTTGTTTTATTGAATATAAGTTACCTCCTACTACACGTGGCTAGTATATCGTCGTAAAACGGTACTTGTGCATTAGGTATATTATTTATTACGCAGTGCATATTATTTTCGGCGACGGCGGCAACACGAGTACACGACGTCGTAATAATATTATTGTTGTACCGTTCGCCTCGAACGGAGACGGGTCGTGTAGTTGTTTTGCCTATCCTTTACGCCGGCGAACTGTTAAATATTATTATAATATTGTCTATGATTGGTAGTTGGTATACCTAATAACAATTATTAGTATCCGCATCGACGGTACGTTCTGGTCTACCGTGGGGTAGGCATATCCCTTGGTGTATAATATTATTGTTTAATCCTCAAATTTTGTGGAAACATTTTTTTTTCGGGACCCCGACGACATTATTGGGATAGTATAACTCACACTATTATGTATGATATTAATATAATATTTAAACGACGACGACGATACGAGCGCGTTCGAAGCAGTGTGCGTCTATTTTTAGAGGAGAGAATATATATATATATATATTGTAACGACGGCGAATTTCAGGTCGTATTGATCGTCCCGCGTCCGACCGCCGGCTGGCTAGATATATAGGCTCATCCTCTGCTGTGAGCGCTGCACCCACGTAAGCCATTTACATTGTTGCCGTTTTAACTCGTTTGCAGCCCAAAGGCGACCCCCCCATCCCCCTATCTCACCCATTACCCATACAAACCCTCTCCACTATCAACCCTTGGCTATTACTATGTAGTATGTACATTGTACGCACTATGCGAGTGCTATTCCCGCTTATAATACCACTATAAAATATATTATAATACAACTCGATACTATAATAATATTATACTAATAGGTACATGTGTGCAATCAGATGGTTCTGGGACGAATTCGTTTTTTGTGTTCTAACGCTGCTTATTACAGCACAGTGCCAATTGTATATCGATTGACAGCGGCGCAGCACTCGACTGACAGTAATACACACACACTCATAGATATATTATTACTACGTAACGGTGTCCCGAGGTACCACGCCGGTCGCAGCCCGGGACTTTGGGGAATGACTACTATAATGCGGAAGTCGTTATACCGGAACGAAGCGCGGAAGTATTCGTGCGCGCGCATCAAAAAGCGCAGTTTTTTAATTTTTAATTCTCCTCTTCTCCGAGGTGAGGAGCGAAATTTTGAATCTGCCTATCCAATTGGCGTTCCACGTCAAGCGCGGCTCCAAATCATATTATTAAACATAAAAACACAAATGCATTACGCGTATATAAGTAGATATATAATGCATATTTTAAATTGGAAAAATAACCAACACAACCGCCAGTTACTGTAGTTAATATTACGTTATATTATTATTTTGAATTGTAGTTCATGCACAATCATTATATTGTTATGAAACTGCAGTGAATGTTGAAAATATAATGAGCTTTAATAGGTATAGGTACGAGTATACCATACTATTATTATTGTCTTCGGGTTTCTAATCTGAAAATCGGAACTGATCGTTTTTCTGACATTCGAATCTCGCATTTGACGCGAAGTGATAATTTACGGTGTCGAATAATATCAGCACAAAAATACGTATGCGATACGCGTATATAAATTTATATATAATGTATAATAGCAGGGGGCGTATTTAGTTGGTAAACTGAAGTAAGTCGTCAGAGTGCGAGTAATTGATGTCACGTATGAGGTCCGGAATGGAAACGTGCTCGGAAAATGTGTGTATGGACAGAAAGCGGGAGGGAAATTCTTAGGGGGAATGTTCTGGTGGAGGAAAAGCGAAAGACTCGATCCTAGTTAAGTCTTCGAATTACAATCTTACGTGACCCATTTGCACACAACAGCAGCAGCAGATCCGATCCCATACTCACACGTCTGCTCCAACGTATACCCCTCGCCACTACTCTCCCACGAACCTTTCGTTGAATTTCGGGAAAACAGGGTATGTTAAGCGTGAGGGGGTGGGAAAAATACACGCGTGCGCGACGACGAACCCACCCATATTACAACCTCGCCCACGAAAACCCTCAATGCTAATTGTTTCGAGCGACAGCATCATATCCACGATACTCGCATGCCACCTAAGTATAATATACATTTACCTTTATTATACTCATATTATGTATTATAGGTACCTACGCATGAAGAGCGTAAGATTGGTGGAATTGGCGTTGGGTAGAACAATGTCACGATCGGTGATGTGAGTGCGGGTATACATGTAACCATGGTATAGATACACATTGGCACATTGCTCAATAGGAGTCTGCAGGTTTAACTTTTGAACCAATCCATGCTCTTAAAACAAATAAAACATCTAGGATCGCATTGAAGGAAATTATATATGAATGCGGCTAATCGACGAATCAGACCAAACATATATCGAATGATAATTGTTAACAGAAAGCCATGAGGGAATCGTTAAAATCGATTTAGACAAATTGATGATCAACATAAATCCACCACTATGGTTTGTAACTATCCGGCGTCAGAACTCGGGGGAGTCTTACCTAAATTTATTGGTGGCCAGTTCGCCAAGTTCGTAGAACTTTATCTCCTCGGAGAACACGTCCAACGGCACCGTAGTTGGCCTCCTCAGCCGGCCGCCGCTCTGGTAATAGTAGAGTATGGCGTCGAACGTCGGCCGGTTCCTGTCGAAGAAGTACTCGTTGCGCAGCGGATCGAAGTACCGCATCCTCCGACACGGGTCGCCCAGCAGAGTATCCGGGAACTGGTTCAACGTCCGCAGCTGCGTCTCGAACCTCATACCGCTCACCTGAAACAAGATCCGAGAAACAAAAATGTAAGTATAAAGTTAGTGAGCGTCGACATTTAAGATATCAAATTTAAGCTTGTTATGCATTTATATAATGTTTAATATGTACCTAACATAATATTATGATTCTATGATATTCTACTATGATCTATAGAAATTTAACCCTTTTAGCGGGATCAATAGATCGGTTCCAGAAAACATGTTAATGATACATATTTTATAGTTCTGTTGTATTTTTACAACAGGCTGATAGTTTTTTCTTCTTAAAATATAAACATATATTGATTTCAATAAGTATTTAAACACAAAGACTCCAATAATTGTTCGTGTATTATTAGACTAGAAGAACATTTATAATTTTTATTTTTCCGGAGAGTGGCGATTATAAGAGACAAAAAATCATGCGTTATTGTTACAGGACAAAATTAATAAACAATAGGTATATGTATCACGACCGTAGTGTACGTTGTGGGTACTCGATTTTTGAACTAAAATAGCCAATAGCTATAGGGCTTTCCGCAAAACTTTCGGATAATCAAACATCGTACCTAACCTTCTATTCTTGCAAAAAAAAAATCAACTTAAAAGGTAACAAAAAACTTTGTTGTATTACTTCACGCGAAATCTGAAAATGGTGATGGTTTACGTAAAAAAAAAAACAATGAATTTTGCGGTAACTCAAACTTTAATAATATATTACGTATACTGATATTTATTATTTTATGAGTTAATTTTTTTTTTCACCCATCCATTATAGTTTCCCAAAAACGTGCAGAACAGTGTGTATGGAACGGCACAGCGGTAGAAGAGCCTGTGAAGGCAAGGTCCCGCGGAACAACATTGAATATGTTTTTAACATTACGGGTCCACATAACTACTAAGATTAAAGTGGATGAAATAGACAAGCTCATAATGCTTGTGTGTACTAGAAGTAAGAAGTATTTTCCAAGCAAATTTTTTTTTTATATAAAAAGCACCATGAATTGTTAACTGTACATTTATTTACATAGGTCACTGTGTAAGAAATTATTACATTATTACCATATTTAAGCTTCAACATTGTTGCATTTGCGTGTTTTTTTTTTCGTATTAGATTTATTACCCTGTAAGCTATACATTAATTTCATAACTTTACGAATGAAATAAAAAGCGGCGTAGTGGATACTTAGAGGTTTCATGATGTTAAGGGCATATTTTCTGATCTTATATAATACATAAAGATTTATATTATGATTCAAAACTTTATAAATTCAACTAATGACTGCATTGATTTGAGATTTGAGTGTATTGTGGTTATAACATGAATCAACATTGCATTTCAGAACTAGTATTTATTTTATAGGATTACGCATATTTCTGTTATTTTTAAGAACTCAGTGATCTATTATCGTATTTAAAAGTAAAATTATTATCTAGGGTATATTGAATGTTTTTATTGAAATTTGAAGCAAGTTATAATAGTTTAAATATTTACGAAACATTCACCCTGTAAGCGGGTTTAAAATACTCATAGCATTAATTAAAATATCAATAAAAATTTCTGAGATTCCCTGGATAATAATCTAACCTATAAACTTTAGAATATTTGTCAAATCATTCCAGTTTTAAAAACAGCAGGGTAAAAAATAAAATATTTTATACGTAAAATTCGGTATGTTGTACGGTTGTAGTAAGACGGAGACAACATATTCGGGTGTGGCGTCGTCTTAACACTTTATTAAAATTAAAATTAACTTCATGCTATGTATGTCTTAATTTGAAAATAGATCAAAAATATTAAAATTAACAACTAGTGCAAAACGGCACAGTATACATTCGGAACATTTTAACAGCATTAAAAAGTTGGAGGCCCAATCATTGTTATTTGTAATTTAATTGCCTACAGTAAAAATAATATTATATACGGGAATTTGAGGCGAATAGCGCACTCGAACGACTGATATTATGGCGTTATATATTATTATAATACCGTACGTACGAGGATATAGGTATGGACGTTAATTGGTTTTAAAAATATATATTATACCTCTAACGTCTTACGTAAGAACTTCACTATACAAATATATTACGGTAGGTACTAGGTACCTATAGTGTAATAGTGGTAGTGGTGGTAGAAGTAGGTTTAAGCAGGTAGGTGTAGGTACAGTGCTCCGAACGCGAAATAAGAGTATTTTATTATCGCGAGGCAAAACAACAAGCGCACAGCCGTGTGATTAATTTCGAAAACGACTGCCGTTTCGCCGGCGCATATCGCATAAAATCGTGCGGAAACACACACTTATACAACATAATATATTATATTAGCGTTTATTTCTGGTCGAGTTTGATAACCACTAACTACTCGGAGAATTATGTGCGCGTTTTACGTGCCGGATTCCAGCTGTATGATATATTATTCCAATATATTATATCGTAACCTAAACCAATCAAACTTCGTGCGCTTTACGTGCGTGCGCCTCGTTGTTGTCGAGAACAATAATATTATAATATTATATTATGGATATTATTATGTTAAAGATAATAATCATCGATAAAAACTAGAGCGTCTCGGTGAGAAATGACTATTATATTATTACTACCATCATCATCATCATTATTATTATTATTATTATTATACTATAATTATTGTTTTTATTTTGGGTATTATTATTTCGTGCGTATAGGGAACTATGTATATAATTATAGATAGATACCGTTCAAACGATAATATAATAATATGATATTATGTTAGTAATATTATTCCTATTTTGTTTTTAAAACTCGCAAACCCGTCGTTAATGCGTCCTTCCTATTGCCTATAATATTGGTACCTTGGTTTATACACTTCAGTCATGCATGCCATTAAGCAAAGGTGTGCTTTTGTATGCATCTATGATATTGTACGTTTGCTCATCGTATAATATTATTGTAGTGATTTACTGCAGCTCTAGTTGCCGTACAAATATGATAAACAAAACTAAAACATTATTCAACGCGCGCGAAGAAGACGTTTTTATTTTTATTATACGTATTATTATAGAGAATTTATTTTTCACTGTACGTTCCGAGAAACTTAATAGCAAAACGGAAAATTACACTCCAGGGACACATTTTAATAACGCTTTGGAGGGGAACTCGTCCAAGATCTTGTTCGAATATATAATTGAAAATAAATTAAACTTCTTACATTAAATCTTAAACTTATAAAAAAGATTGGGTATGATTATTATTTTTCGTAGCCGTTTTTCTCATTTTTATTAAGCTTATTATGGGTTGAGGAAAAATATATCATATTATATTATTATTATTGTTATTATTATTATTATTATATACGAATTACGATGTTCATAAATAAAATAAATAGTTGGGTACATTTACATTTTTTTATATATTCATTTTGTTGATTTCCATTTTAGCGTTTTAATCATGTAACATATTATTATTTATGGTTATAAAATGTTATTGCAAAGTCAACAATTTGTTTATAATTAGTAATAAATATTGTGATACTCCCAAATAAAAATGTAATTGATAAGTTGTTATTTTTTAATATAATGTATATTGTATATGTATATATAAGCTTCTGTTGGACAATAATAGTTTTTAAAAACATTTTAATAACTATAACAATTATTTTATTTCAATAAATAATTGAATCCACTGCACATTAAATTAAATTAGAATCATATCCAAAGAAGGTTCCACGCATATTATACGTCATCTGGTTTATAATATAACATAGTATGTTATTAACATCATAAAAATATGACAATGACTGGTATAATAATATAAAATATAAGTATGTAGAAAAAGTTTGAGAATTATTTTATAATCTGCATAATATATTAAGTACATAAAAAAAATTAATAAATGTAGGTATGTATGCATAAACAGTATTATAATCTATAATATCGTTATAATATACTATTATTTATGATATGTTGTTTATTCTATTACTCATTTTAGTGTTGTATTGATGATAGTTAATTAACTCAAAACTGTCAATATTAAAATAGCGAATAATAGAATGTGATTAATGATTATAATACAGTATGACAATACTGCAGTAATATTGTTCTAATAATTGGATACCAAAAATTAACAAAGTAACATTATAATGTATTTTTGGTTCGATTTCGTGTTTATTTTTTTAGAAATTAAAGTTTATGAAATATAACATTATTGTCATACCTAAAATCAAAAATTAATTTTACACAAAATGTATTTAAATATGCATAATATTATAATCTGCATCGGTATCACGGGGTCGTATTATATACGTACATTACATCAAATCCCGATGTAGGTGAATACTGAATCTGATTCAACTGGTCAGGTACTCAGGTCTACAGGTTTCAAAACTGGTACTCGACAGAAGAACGCAGACATATATTATACTCCCGATGTTAATTAATAAGCGTGTTATACAATATTGGAGTGATTATGCGAACGTTATACGCTAGGGTGGGTAATTCGTCACACGAAAGGATGACGAGCACTATAAACCATTAGAGAATCATTAATTTGGACCCACCGCAGCCGTCTAAAATAATAAATAACGTACATGACTCCATATACATAAATATATTATATATGACACCCGGTGCTCTATACAGAGTGTTCTCTCCTGCACTTCCCGTCACACAAAAAAAAAAACCAAAAAAATCTTTATTCTTCTCACCCGTCATCCCTCTTCGTTAAGACTATTCTGTTAAAGGACTTTATAATATTTTATATAATATATTACGATAATGTCGTCGTGAAAATGGTCGACCTCGACATAGGAAATATCTTCGGCAAGCGGTGCAGACGTCACAGTTGGTTCATGCCGTACTCGCTGCCAAAGAAGATCGTTATATTATGTTTGTATGAAATTTATATTATTTTAAATGCTTAAATTTATTTTCAGTGTTTTTAAAATGCTCTCAGTAGTTGTGTATTCGCTGAGTTAAAATAAATAAATAAAAAATAACGCACGAAGGAAAAACGATACGTAAGTGCTTATATCATATTATATATTA